CCTTCTCCCCCTCCAAACTTACCGACTCCATCTCCCACCCATCAAGCACTGGTGATCTTGCAGCAAGCCTTGAGGATAGATGTGATTGTGGTTTTTTTCTTGTTTTTTTTTTTTTTTTAATTTACTGAATCTCCAGCCATGACCAGCGGGCAGGGTGTGCAGGCCGGTCGGACCCCGTTTGAGTTCTGCGACCCCCTGGAGCCAGCGCAGCTGAGACCGGTCCCTTGTCCCGCCAGCAACGGCAGCAGCCCGCACGCCCGCGGGCCGTCCCAGCCCGGCAGGGGCACCGTGACGGCACCAAACCCCTTCCCACCCGACACAGGTACGTGCGCCCACGGGCATCCTCTCCTCTCCGCCTTCTCCAGGTTCTCCTAAAGCTTTCCTGGGGAGAGAAGGTGTTGCAGCGTGGAGCTCGAGCATCACTCTTCACCAGCAGTTGTTCACAAGCTGTGCTTATTTTTTTTCTCTCTTTTCATATCGATATAATTTCAGACAAAAAAATAAAAAAATCTGTCCATCTCGGGGCCCAGGGAGGCAGGTGGAGGAGGTCGCATCCCCTCACCTGAGCAGTGCCAGCAGCTCAGGCTCCCCTGGCACTGGTCAGGGTTGAATTTCATAGAATCCCAGGATGGTTTGGGTTGGAAGGGACCTTAAAGGCCACCCAGTGCCACCCCCTGCCATGGGCAGGGACACCTCCCACCAGCCCAGGTTGCTCAGAGCCCCGTCCAACCTGGCCTTGAACCCCTCCAGGGCTGGGGATCTCCACGAGGATCAGAGCACGAGCGGTGTGTCGGGGGAAAAGCTGCAGGAGTAAGAGTCTCACCTCGCCCTGCGGAAATCACCGATGGCAAAACGCTGACAATCTCACTGTTTTGGCAACCTGGGCTCAGGAATCCTGCTTCTCTGCCCTCCTCTGCTTCACTTGCTGCTTCCCTCAACGCATCAAGCGATGCTAAACGTGATCTGGAAGAGGGACCTTGCTTACCACCACGCACTGGGGCTGTGCAACAGCTTGGCTGCGGCTGCAGAAAGCAAAAAAACTGAGATTTCATCTTCTGACGATGGCAGCGTGGGACTAGAAGAGCTGCTGGACTCCTCCCCTGTCCCCATTTGGGTCTGGCTGCCTCCAGGAGGGTCACCCACACCCCGGGATATGAGCTGCTGGTAGATGATGCTCCGCTTGGGAGCATCCCCATCGTCAGCACCGATGAGCCTGGGGACCGCTGTTGGGCGAGTCGAGGAAGGACTGGGGACGGGCTGCACCGCGACCGTGCCATGAGCCTCCCTGATGTGCTGCCAACCAACCTTAACCCTTTTTTTAAGAAAATTCGAGAAACAGAGGAGTGCTTGGCAGAAGCCGCCGTGCCACTGCGTGCGCTGGGATGCTGAGCATCCCTGAGCTGGACCTTCCTCCTCTCCTTCCCTTTGGGCTCTTATTTTCTCTTTTTTGAACCAAACCCCATGGTCTAGGTGGGACATGAAGCTGGTGGCTCCCTGGGACAGCAGCGAAGACACCGGGCACTGGGAGATGTTTTGAAGCAAATAATGTATTTTATTGGGAAAAGAATCAGCACAGCTGAGCTTGGTTAAAAGAAGAGAGATTTTCATCTTTAATAACCGCCTTCCTCCGCACTTCTCTTAGAAACTCAAGGTTTTGGCGCAGGGACAGCCACTGATGGCACGTCCCGATGTGGCGGAGATGCCACCCCAGCCAGAAATGTGCCTCCCCCTCCGGTTTCCACCTCCCTGCATCCCCACGGGCTGGTGCAGCTGAGATGCCGTTTGATTTTCAATCCCAGTTCTTATTTCAAATGGGATGACGTAAAGTCTCCAGCCTCATAAATCTCTCTGTCCTGGGCTTGGGCTCCAGATCCCGCTACAACTTAATTGAATTGCCTTGGCTCCTTTCCCTCTGCAAATTAATTTCTCTCCAAAAGAGAGGCAGAAGATGCTAATGGGCGTGGGCTGGTTTTTAAGCTAAAATCTTTGGTAATAACAATTTGCCTTCAAGAAGAAACTAACTTGACTAAAATTTGAAAATCTTGCTAGAAATGTGCCGAAAAGGGAAATATTTTAATAGCATTTGCCTATACTGAGTACACAGGGTCACATATATCTGCCGGGTGTGCACAGATTTTCACCCAGAAGCTCGTGCTAATCGTTAATGGTTAGGAAAGCACCCCTGATAGCTGTAATTTTGGGTTGAAAAGAGCCGTAACTGGTCAATCTTGGCATCCCTTAGCACTGTTGGCATCCCATTGCTCTGAGCTTGCCTGGTCCCCCCGGCAGCACCCGAATCCTTCCCCCACACTAACTTTTCC